AAAAATCTGTGACTACTAGAGGAACGCGACGGCTAGGACGAGTAAGCATGGCTTAGCTAGTTCCATACATAAGTTCTATAGCAGTCTACAGTTCCTACATACACCGATCGGTCCATTCTAACGCGACCAAGAAGAGTTGGTTCGCCTCTGTTCGAAATGTACTCGCCTTCGTGAGCCTTGATCGCTACTTCTCCTTCTCCCTTGCTGAATCGAGGTGCCCCTGCCTGCAGAAGAATTCTGAAGACCAGTCAGCCTGTAGGCAGGCGGCCTGCGTCACTGCCTGCCTACGCGCCTCAGTTGTGTACTGCTCTTAGAAAGGGGCTTCGCGGGGGTCGGCTCTTGGCTTACTTGGCGGTCGGGTCTCGCTTATGATGCTGCTGTGCTGCTGCTGCTGCTGTTGCTGCTGCTGCTGTTGTTGTCGAGGGCCGAGTGTTGACTCTCAAGCGCACAACTAGTGTGTGACGAGCAGGAATCGACCATGAGCGTCAATGAAGAACTAGCAAGACAAGACGGCTCTTTGAGAAGGAAGAATGGATTGGCCAATGGTGTCAGATTGAGATGAGCGTGAATCGCCACTAACCCCACTAAAGATTCGGGATTCGAGGCGACTATGATTCTCTTGGACACAAGACGAGGACTGGGGGTGAGGGGTTAGAAAACAACGGCGTATAGAGCGACCTCCCGCTCTTTAGTCGCTTCTCGCGGACCGTAAGGGCAGTTGCGGTAGCCGCAGCAGAAACGGTACGAGCCACGACGAGAAAATAACAAAAATCAAGAAAAGTGCACCTGAAACCACTGCATCCGCCTGAGGACGTTCATTCGCGGGCAACATTCTTTTAACGAGTCCGACACGAACGGAGATAGCTCAGCGCCACTTGCAAATCATCTTCAGTTTACTTTAGCTTGAGCCCTGAGAACCATAAACAGCGCGTAGCGTTGATATATACCAAATGGGCCTAAGATGTAGAATTTCGACCGGTAGCGACAAGACGATGCCTAGTTATTGCAAAGTCCACGTGTGATTAAACGCTTGTGTAAAATGTCCGTTATCCAGTACTAAATAAAAATGGCCTAGCTATTGAAACTAACACGTCTTTAACTTAAACTCTAGATGATAGCCGTAGATGATCATAATTGGACTTCTACATTTAATAGAATAACAAGCGTTACTTGGCTCGATGCAGATGAAGTTCATAAATACAAAGGATACGCCAAAAGGTGTGCATCACGAAGTCATCAGTTGTTTTCCCTGTAGAGTACTAAATTATCGTATGCGCTCACATTATATTTAGGGGTCGACGTTCACTGAAAACCAAATTCGAGTGCAGGATACAGCGGCATCAGAAGCCACGTTCACACATTAGACTTTAATACGAATCTGGTAGTTACCGGTAACAAGTACCAGGTAACCAGTGAATATCAACAGTCAAGATGCTCAGCTCCGAAACGAGGGTCCGCATGCTTCACTTCATTCGACTAGGTGTTGGTGGAGTGAGCCGGATTTCTTCAAGCAGACCTCACTACTGGAATTTTTCTTAATTTCATCTCACGTTCGTTTTTGCTTGTTCTTCATTTGTCTCGCACATCGTAATGAAACGAAATTCTACACGAAACTGCTTCAAGATGTAATCGCCCACATCAGTTGCTACTACGATATCAGCGCCGCTAGCTAGGCTTGTTGGTCCGACAGGCACGAGAGCCTCGGTCAACGGACTTGCTTGAATAGGCAAATGCCAGCAACAACGCGCGCATTTGCTATCCGCGCACACAATGCCGTCCTACTCCCGTGCGACCGTACCCCTGCCCGGCCGCATCAGCCTCTACTCACAGCACCTCGCGCGCCATAAGCTCGAGTAAGCCAGTGGCGACCGGTGACTCACTGTGGTAGCGTGTCTGTCCTCTGACCGGCCAGAACGTTTAAATAGGGCGTTGATTTTGTTGTCTATCAAGCGCTCCCAGCAGCATGCTACAAACATACGAGGCTGGTTATTCACGCATGTCTCTATGTACTTGAAATCATCCCCCCCTTCAGCGAATACTAATGAAATGATTCGATACATTTAAATACTATAAACCTAAAAGGACATCCTCTTATTTGTTTGAAATTAAAGTGCACGTATTTGTGGTAAATTTTAATCAGGTATTGTATCAGTTGACAAACGAGATGTCGCATATCACTAGCATGACTCGATGTTGGCTTACAGCCGTTTAGCCCTGGCATTGCTCCAACATCGGCTTAATCCGGTCAAAGTCTATGAGAAACCTACCACCTTCTATTAACACAAACAGAACTAAATCAGTTTTATTAATGATTGTTAATGCTAGCACATGTTTGGTCTATGCAATTGCGGTCTGGGGCCTTTCGTCGGTCACTTGATTGTCACAGATTACAGAAAAACATTGACACGTAATTAGCTCTATTTCGAAATACCTTCTCTGGTAAGTTCGAAAAACACTAACTATGCATGATCCGCTGCGAATGGTTACTCGGATACGGATCGATCACGCCGTAGCTGAATGATGTTCAGCATCAGCCATGACAGGCTGACAAGGCAAAATTTCCTAGCCAGAAAGTGGAAATGCCCTTCCGCTGTTATGTTGCTTAATAATCTCTTAATGTGTTATTACATGCACATTAGGGTATTACGTACGATCAGCCATCTACGTCTTTGTGACCTGGTGAGCCGCTGCTTCCCTAAGTGAAGTATTTAGCTAAACAATTATTTTACTAAATATAAAAACGTATTATCACGTTATTACTACGTTAGGGACATCGTTAAGTTGAAAATGTGCTATGTATTCTGATCGTTAATCTGGTGTCCTCCGAGCGTCAGTTGGTCATAACGAAGCAAGAAATTTTGTGGAATTTTCAAAGCCAGAACAACTTTGCTTTTTCATGAAAAAGATCATAGCAGAGCAGATAGCAACCGACAACATCAGGATGGATTGCCAGCTACGACGAAAGCCTGCCACGACGGTTACGATGCCACCACCGCTCGACGCCACTCGCTTGTCTGATCCGGCCGCCGGCGTCATCAATGGTGTTCCACCTCCTTTTTGTCGCGACATTGAGCATAGCGCGGAGGCTTCGCTTGGGCTTTGCGAACTTCAAGCATCGTTCGTTATTGCACCGGCACGACCAAATCAACCCAGCCCGGACCGACTAGCGGCTCTGTCATCTCCGCCATGCCACCAACGCCATCGAATCCTTACCGATCCCATTTCTTGGCGTTCTCGAATGAAGCGACCCGGTTTGGTTCGGTTGATCTATTTGCGCGCGGTCTTGTCGGTTAGCGCTCGAGTTGGCTAGTGGCGGCAGCGATCCGACAACTATTGCTCATTCGTGCAGTCACTGTGGATCGGCGGCCGTTCCCAGCAACAGCAAAGCGCTACACAACGGCGGCGGCGGTGGCAGCACTCCAGCAAAAACATATCGCGAACAGCAGCAGCTGTGGCGACCGTGTTAGTGACGAACAACGCACAGCAACGCAGACAAATCCACCGGTCGTTTCTTTCAGTGGACACAAAACGAGCGGCAGGCCGAGCGAACAGCAGCCACCGTCACCGGGCCTAGCAGGCAGCAATCGTCAGGCGAACAAACGGGCTAAATAACAACCAACCACCGGCCGTACACAGGCTCCAGGACCGCCCTTGTTGCTGGCGCTCGTACAATGCACCCTTCAAATTCAAACAAGTTTTTCGCGCGGTTTTCAAATCCTGCCGCGTCCAGCGACAGCTGGTGATTGGCCAGCGAGAAAAAGCGCCTCCTCAGAAAATGCGCCCACTTTTAGAGGGTGCAGCATTCAAACCAAAAATCTAGCAGAACAATACCGGAGCAGGTAACAAGCAATGTTCGCCGAATGCGCGTCACCAGGGTTGCTCATTCATACACGAGCGCAACACGCAGATGCCAGTCAACGTCGAGAGATATTTCGGTAAAACTTTACAAAACCCTTTATCGAACGTGACCATTCTCCAGAAGCTTGATAAGATTGGCAAAATGGTTCATTGGCAAAAAATATGGCTACTGCTTGTCACAAGTCCTGCAATATTCAGGTCAAGTCCACGTGTACAAGCATCTATAGGATCATTCCATGAAAACATTTTCTTTATTTAAAATGTCAACGGCAAGTTCCTGTTGAATCGCTAGAACAATTACATACGTCATCAGCATGGAATATTCATGGCATACAGCATGGAATAGTAAGATGTTGAAGGCGTTGAAAAAATTGTAGTAGTTGTCCACGTGCCGACGAAATGTACAGATGTTCAGGTAGAATTTCGTTTAAGCTTCCTATCCGATATAGGGCAGTTGCATTGTGTGAGCCAGTGAGCCCCGCTACATGATCAGATCCGGGCCTTACGATAGCCAGCTCAAAAGGCACGTGCAGGACTATCATGAATCTGTCCTGCAACCAACTGCTGACCGAACACCTACCAAATGAAGGTAAGGCTATAGCAAGCTATATGTTTTAACAACCGAGCACAAGAATTAATCACAGCGGCATTGCGACTAGCAGAAGTACTCGAAGCCGGTTCAGGATCCCGCCCCGTCACTCTCAACCAGCCACGCACTACAAGCCACCCCATGGCGTTCAAGCAAGTGACAGCGGCTTAGTTATATGCTCAGCTGCTGCCGCCGCCCCGGTCTCATTCGCGCGGGCGCTCGCTCATCACACACCGACTGGCACCAGTAGCAGCACGACGATGACGACGACGACGACAGAGAGGCAGCCGGTCGGTCGGGTCGCCCAGGCTTGCTGCGGCCGTTCGCCCTCTCCCGCAGCTCTTGTGACAGTCACTGGCTCACCATTGTGTTCCTGCTTAGTTGTCGTGACTCGCTTCACCCCCCCCGAAACTCGGCCGCGTCACATATCCCTCTCCCAATCCGCTGAGCGAGTAGTGGCCAAATGAGTAGTGCGCGCGCTCAACCAGCTCTGTGCGTGGAGACAACGGCGGTTAGCAGCGCAGCGATCGGTAGCGAGACCGGACGAACGAACAAGCGGGCGAGCAACCGGCACAAGCAGTCAAGCACCGCCGCCACACTGCCATAACTTATAGTACCAGTGGCCGTAGCAGCATTGGTAAAGCGCAGTGCTTCGTTACGACAGATCGTCTACGGCCGCCGCCTTGGCAGCATCGGTGACAGCAGCGACGGCCCGGTAGCTGTAGACGCCGCCAGGCAGATCGTCAACGCAAGGCAAGAGGCAGGATAACGCGTGCTGCTAGCAAGTCACCCAGCTAGAGTACAAGCTTTGTTCAGCTAGCCAACGCGGCACTCGCTACTTCGCGGAGCAGCTAAACGAAGCTGCTAGGTCTGATACTGCTGTAACCGCTACATTCACTGTACTTGTTCTAGCTAGACAGGGCGGCAGCAGTAGCAGCCGCCAAGCTGCTGGTTAACAACCGTATTCATACGCAACGGTACGAGAGAGTGGGATGAAACAGGGTATTGTTTCATAGTGCGATACGAACTGCTAGGATCGGTTAGTTCGATAAATGTTACTCTTGTCAGCAGCGCGTGGATCGCCAAAAGTCGTAACAAAAGTTGACGGAGTAAGTGCGCGTGTGGTCAGCAGTGAGGAAGGAGCACACTTCAGCTCGTTAACGAACGATCGATTGATAGATACATCAGTTGTTGTGTAGAAATGTGTCTGTGTGTGTGTGCGCGTACAAAACTATCGGATACGTATTATCTTGTTAGCTCTTACTAAGCGTCTTATTAGCAAGCATCAATCAGCGAGCGACGGTCAGAAGAGCGAAAGCATTCGGCCTGCCAGCAGAGCAAGCGTGACCCATTCAACACGCAGGATAACAACCAGATGCGTCGTCAGAAGTGTGAGAAGGAAGAGATCGCGAAACTCTAGTAATACGCGAGTTATTACCGTTTCTGTTCACGATCATTCGGATGTAGTGTTGCGGCAATTTACTCACGTTCGCCACTAATGCGCGCAATGATGCCGATGGTGAGAAGACTTCAACGCCGCCGCGCCACGCTTTTGGATTGATTTGTTTTACATTGTCATCAGAGTTCAGTGAAATGAACCGAACTTCACTTTGGGCAGCGGTCGCGAATGTTGTTTAGCTCGCGCTGCATGTGTGCTTGTGCGTGTGAAGGAACGCTCGCGAAAGCTACTGCCATCGCTGAGGAACTAGTTGTCTTCGAGCAGAAGCTGCTTGAGGAGAGCAATAAGAAGGGAAGGAGCGAGTCAGTTCGATTAAACGAATTAACAAGGAAGTATTTTACGAGGTCCCGTAGTCTTTTGTGCCGTGTACTGTGAAAGTGGTGCGTCAGGGTGGAGCGCGTTGCCTCCGCGGCATCGTGTCGGGATCGACGACGGGCAGTTCGACTAGAGCAGACGGACAGCGGTCAGAATAAATGTCACTTACTTATTGCCATTATTAGAACAGACAACGAAAGCGCAAACGACAATAAACGAGAAAGAAGACTGATATCTCGTACGACAGCAATCGCGACGGCAGCGGCGTTCATAGCAATCATAACGCTACGACACGAACACGCTGTCAATATGCAGCCCGTAGTGACGTCACCGCCTTCGAAGAAGAAAGGCAAGTACGATATTACATTCAAGCTAAAAGTCATCCAATGGGCGGAGAAACACTCGAACAGAGCTGCCGGGTCGAAGTTCGGCCTAAACGAAAGCACGATCAGAGGTTGGCGAAAGTCGTCAGTTGCGAACAGTCTCGAAGCACTGAGTGCGGATTTCTCGCGCGGGGTGTTATCTCTCCATCAGCCTCTACATGATGACACCCACCTCAACAGCCACCATCATCCGGCAACAAACGGCAGCAACAGCCTGAGTGTCACCCTCGGCGGCGGAGCTGATACTGGCAGCGGAGCTGGCGGTCGTGCAAAGCTTCACGATGCTCTACGGAGCGGACGAAGACCGCTCAGCAGCGCGTCAACACACATGTCCGCAATGGCTGGCATGTCGGGCGCCGAATCGGGTGGGGAATCACCGCCCCGATCACTCAATATGGACGAGCGTGAGCTAGCTCGATTGAGCTGCTCCCCGTCAGATGACGGATACTATGAGGACGTGAGCTATTATCAGGAAGAGGTTGTTGACGACGAGATGGCGGACCCTCATCACAGTCAGCAACAGCTGCATCACAGTCATCATCAAACTTACCCTCATTTGAATCATCATCATGCCCAACAACAACAGCAGCAACATCCGCCTCCTCAACAGTCCCATCACTCAAGCGGCCAACAATCGCTGCAGCGACAGCAGCACCAGCAGGAGCAGAAGCAGCAGCAGCAGCAGCAGCAGCAGCAGCAGCAACAGCAGCAGCAGCAGCAGCAGCAACAACAACGACAACAGCAGCAACAACAACAACCACAACCACAACAACAGCAGACGAGCAGTCCATCACCCCCGCCGACACCTTCGCCACCACCAGCGTCCCCGGCGTTGCCGCCAGCGCCCGTCCTCAAGACGATCTCACACCAAGTGACGTCGAAGCCCTTCCCAGAAATTCAGTTGCCCTTCACGGTAATCGTATGCAAATCAGTCCGAGACCACTGGCTGCAGCGATACGCTAGTCAGCTACCGGCGAGACCAGTCACGGAGCAGGATTCGTTTGCAAAACAGCTCGGGTTAGAACGACGTTAATGGCGGCGGGTGACACAAACAGCGTTTGCGCGCAGGCTCGAGCGTTTGTGGTATAAAGAATAATAATATTAATAATAATATTCTTCTACCTTATATTGTACTATAATTAATATTACCCTACAATGCTGTATGCAGCTTATTTGTGTACAATGACCACCATGTCTATACTATAGAGGCCATTTATACGATTTTACATTATTGTGCTTGAGATGCTGCGAGGACTGCGAAAACTGCTGTGGATTCGTGGGCGTACAACGACTGTTTACACTGTAATTTTGCCTGGCTTGAAATCTTCTTCTACAACTATCTGTACTACTACTCTACATAGTGGGCAGTCAGTACAGACAGAGCCAAAGTTTCTCCGCGTGGAAGGACATGATGCGCAGTGTAACTTAATTTCTCTTAAAAGCACCAAGAGGCATAGACAATCTTCATTAGGTTAATGATTAAAACCAACAGAAAAAATTGTGTCGATAACAACATCGCCTGCGTCTACGAGAGCGAGTACAAAGACATGTCATTAAAACACGGAGCTGCGACGACAAAATAGCCAAAACTTAAAGGCCAAAGGCTGGCGATGGTGGCTACTAGAGCGGCTGGAGCATTGAAACTCGGCGGCGGCGGCAGCGGCGGCGGCGGCATCAGCTTAAGGAGAAGTAGATGCTTCTTCGCTGTTCGTTCCCTTGCTAGCGTTTACTGCCGCCCTGGCTGCTGCTGCTTCTGCTGGTACCACTGCTCAAAGACCGCACCCGCTCAACCGCGTCGCTCGCCCAACCGAAGACTGTACTTGTGTGAAAGTGTGCATGTGTATGTGTATTGTGCGCTCCAAAACCTCATCATCGGCTGCTGTGACCCGACTGGCTGCAGAAGTAATCGGCACCAGCAGCAAAAAGCAGCGGATCGACGACTTCGTTGGCCAGCAAGCGTCTTCAACAGCCCACCAACAATTACAGCATCCCGATGGAAATAGCCCGAGAACTTGTCTCGGGTTGACTGTGCATAGTAGTCTCTTCGTATAGTGCATATTTAATACGTTGCATCATGACGATGCATGGGAGGAAGATGTACTATTCCTGTATTATATAGGCATCAATCGCAATAGGGTACGATAATGACGACGATAATGATCTTGACGACGGTGTCGATTGTCCTCCGGCGGATGGATACTACCCTTTTCACCGCACAACCCATATCTTTGTATATACAGGCAAACATACATCTTGATACTGTAAATCACTGTCTCTCTTTACGTGTGTATGTGTTACGTGGAGTGTGCCTGGATGCCTGATGCCCATCGTGGTTATTTTCTAAGTATGTTTTTTTAGTTTTTTCGTCTGTGTAAGTGCTGATCTCCGTCGCATGATGATGAGAACGGCGAAATTTCTATTTATTATTATAACAACGGGCGCCACGGATACGATAACGCGTCAAGTAAAATTGTTTTTCATACGATTTTGATTGCTGTGTGAGGACAGTCCTATATGTCATTTCAGTTCAATGCCCCCTTTCCTTCTACGTCACCACCTACGATTTTCTCCAGATATGCGCCTTTTTTCATTTCGATTGCGTTGTGTGTGTGTAGGTGTTACTGCGCTTGTGCGCGAAGCAACGTCTGGATATGCACAGATCCATTTCTGTAGGATTTGTTTACTCGAGCTATCTATATAATAATAATACTGGTGCCGTCTGGTGGCAGGTTTGCCGTAAAACTGCCTTCGATTGCTCCATTATTGTTCTTGGCATCCTGTGAGCGTTAGCTATTTACAACTAATGGCGTTAAGCATATCGCGCTAGCGGTGCTCTTACTATGTCGGCCACACCGAGTCTCAGCCTGCTGTAACGTAGCCTGTTGTCAGCTGTCAAGCTTGCCATAGCGGCGTAGTGGTATTAGATAGCCTTCTTCTTGCTAGTACTGCCTAAACAACACACAGAGAGACAGATAGGTCGAAACACATATTGGCAGCAGTAGAATTGTCGTTGGCTGATCAGCCTCAGCACCTTCAAGTAACAGCGCCAGGAGTTGCCGTAGCTGAAGTAGTAGCTTTTGCTTTGCGCGAAGGGCAAAAGTGGCGGCGCGAAAGGCAGTGCCACCACAATCGCCGTTTGTAATACCTACTCTGACGGCCGCAGGACCAGCGTCAGGGTGGCCGCAATGACCGCTACCTCCCATTCTGCTGCATTGTACTGTTTTTGCCGAACCTTTGTGTAGGACTCTCCTGTCGCTCATTGAAAATGCAGCCAGTTTTGGTCTATTTGCTACTCATCTTTTCTTTTTTGTATCTTACGTTTGGTGGTGGTACTTTTGCCTCGCGGAACCTCTCTGAGTTCAATTCGGCTGACGCCGATCCGTGAGTCGTTAATTGTTCTATTGAGGGTAAAGAATGCAAGAGTTGAAAACAGTAGGACAAGATGGCTGCCGTGTGCTTTCGTACTGTTGGGTTGTTATCCGCCAGCGTAAAGAGAGAACGCGCAGTAAGTCAGGTGGCAGCAAACGGACATCAGGCAGAGGTCGTGGCGTTGGCGACGCCAACGACACCGGGATGCTACCGTACGACTGGCTCACGCTATATTAGGTAGCTAAGCGCCACGCCATGGCCGCTGGCATCATAACACCGCCTCCCCAGCTCTGTCGACGCTTGGACACGTAATGTTCAACTAGCGGCCACGCGATCTAGCTAATTTGCTGTCTTTGCACCAAACTCACACCCAAATATCATCAGCCACGATCAGCTGATGGGAACTGCGAGAAGAGCTTTGTTCTGTCCAGTTCCCAGTTTAAGGCCTCTTAGTGACAACGATGGCCGCACATCTTAGCTTGCAGCTTTGTTCTGGTGGGGCGTAAGCGTTGTGTGTTGCTCATCGCGAAACCAATCACGCTCGCAAGTAAACTGTAACTAAGAAGAGTCGACAATAAACGGCGAGTGCATTCTCTCTGGATTTAACTGACGGACTGTTTAGCTGCCTTGTGTTGCCCGCCGCACTGTTCGTATAGGCGGTTTCATAGAGTTACGCATATCCGCTGTGTTCCTTTCTGTATAAATTCTGAATGCGCGTACGGACTACGCAGGTTTTAGCTAGTAACGGTAGCAACGGTAAAATTGTTTGGCTTTTGCCACGCACTTGGCGAGGCCGTTCCTCTTAAGCTGAGGTGTGTGTGTCTGTGTAGCGGGGAGACTGGGTGCATGATGGCATTTAGCCTACCATTCCCAGTACTCCAGATGTACGCCTTAACATCCTACAACAAACCTGGCTGATACGAGAACTTTATTGTGGACTGTTGCTGATTGATCCGTATTCACTTCGCCTTCACCACTCTGTGCGACAAATTCCTAATAAATAGCTAGTCTTTTTTTTAAAAGATTTAAAGGGCCGAACTATGCAACTCAGCCGTGATATGATGCAACAATCTATAATACTTAACCACTGTTAGATATCATTCACAGTTTGCCTTATGCAATTCGTCCAGTAATTTACCACAACAGCTGCCACGGGGAAACTTTTTCGTGAAGGCGCAAATTTAAGTAAACACACACATATGGACGCACTAATGAAGTGCCGTTCTCTTACCTTCCTTTTTTTCCTCACTGTTGCCCACATATCTTCATCTCTATTTTTACGTCACGCCAATTTTCCGCATTATTCGCTCATGTTATTTTCCGAATTTCCGGATATCTTCTCTCTCTAGCAGTAGCAGTGGCAGCAACGTGATTCGTTTGTAATTCATGGCCAATAAAGGAACAGTAGATAGGGCTCCGGTACCGGAAATCTTGGTTTTCGCCCAGCGTGAACACTATTCCCACACGTGTTGAGCACCGCCAGCATTAGGATTACCGAGTTTGAGGCGCCGGATTAGCCAGACGTGGACTGCAGAGGCAACCGTCGGCCAGCCAGCATGGCGGAGACTTCTACTTGACAACAGCAGAGGCTAATTTTCCGCGAATGGCGGTAACATCGAATAGCCACTGCAGCAGCAGTAGTCACCAAATAAACCAAAGCTCCGCGTACGTCGATGTCGGTTCAGCTATTCCTTGTTGTTGCCACGTCGCTTTCAGTGCTGCAACTCCATTTAAAACCCGGTTGCAGCTGTCGACGCCAGCGACGTTACTGGCATACGAACGGTTAAGCTGACGCCAATGCGTGTGTTACTTCAGTAAGTCAAGTGATACCCGTAGTTCTAACCGCAGTATAATTGATTTGTTATCATGTCCTATGTGACGGCCAGTGGGCCTGTGAAAACTGTTGTCCACATTTCCCTGTTTGTGTATCTGTCGAGGTACTAGCTTAGTATGTTTTGGTGTTGTATTCCTGTGACGCTACGGCAGTGAAGCCCGACACAGCCTACGATTTCTCATTGAATTGTGATTTGAGCGTTGCTCAACGTTGATATCAGCCTGCGCGAAACGCCGCCTCCGTCATCGCCAGTGCCGGTAGCCCCATTTCGATGGATATTCATCTTCTACCCAAATAATCGTTTGAGATAGCAAAACAAATAGTCGGGTTTACCCAGCTGTTTACCGAAAAACACATTAAAAAAGTCATTTGTGGAATAATAATAATAATAATGCCATACTTCTAGCATTTCAAACTTGTGTTTGTGCTGACTTTTTACGTGTTTTTCTCAAACATTGTAACTTCTAAACAAAAAAAGCCAAAAAAATACAGGGTGCAAGCAAACGAACTTCAACTTGCGCCCGTGACCGCTCAAACAAGTTGTGATGTTAGAGATGTGACAATGCAATGTGTATCACACAGAATCCTGAGAACCACTTACATAGGACTACTCATTATTATTATTATTATTCTACAGATGCTAATGATAATGGGTTCTATAAAACAACTGTGTTTGTAATTATAATGTTTTTTTTTTTATTGTGAGTCCTGTATTTAAAAAGCAGCGATGTAAAAAGGCGTAAAGCCTATAGGAAGAACAAACGAAAACAAGGTGATTCTTAGTCTGTTACGTTTTTCTTTTTAATATTTAAACAATATAGCAAGATACCGTTGTATGAGCGTAATACCTTGCTAATTCGTTTGATTTTTCATAGTCTTTGTTTTCATATCTATCTCTACAGTGGAACGACGTTATGCTAAGTTGATGAATATGATTTATGTTGATCTCCTTAGATCGCTTTCGATAGCTTCGTTTGTGGCTGTTTATTTGATCCTGCCTTTGATATTGGTACAACGAAACTGTGCCATATAACACTATGTTACACACGCTCATTTAAATCAGCTAGCCCTTTGAAGCTGGAAGAGTGCAGCTTTAAAATATTATTATCAACCACTTTATCCAATCCTTTCCACAGTCTATTCTGTCCTGGCTGACGCAGCGACGTCGGCCTAGTAATTTACTAAAGTGTCGTTGAATTCTGTATTTATCGCCTTCACGCAGTCACATAAACTAAACAGGTATACCTATATCGCTTACGGTCGAGCATGATTTTCAGCGATTCCATGATAGCTTAGCGGGTAACGTATTTGCCTGCTAATCACACACATGGTGGTCTAGGTTCAAACCTAGTTCGACATAAACAGGAATAAACAGACGGTACGTTTCGTGTTGGGAGCCAGCTATCTGATGGAATGCCTAACAGCGATACCGGACGAAAAACTCGATACGTAGAGGACATAGTTCTGCCACATTTAATACTAGGCTGCCCTGCATGAGATATGCTTTTCCGCAGCCCGCTGCTCTCTACTGCTGGCACTAGAACGAAACAGCAAGGCAGTGCTGATGCTTTCTTGTTGATGAGTCGCGTTCGTTTAACGTTCCGTCTATACGATTGTCGTAGTGAAGTCTGCTCAAACGACTATGGAGCGGATACACAAGGCACTAGTCGTGGCCTGCTTTTGCGCAAGTTGTTCACGCGGCAGGGCCGACGGCGAAGGCAAAACATATCGCAACTGCTTTAGACAATATTAAGTGGCCTGTCTCTCCCTTTGCTGCTTCTGCTGTTGTCCGGAAGATGCGAAAACGATAGAATTTTTGATTAGGCGATTGGTTTGTGAGGTGAAGTAACGGCGAACTTTTCGAGCGCCGTAATTATGGCAGTTACCTGGATCTGTGGTATTTGAGGCATGTGAGCCACAATAATTACTGGTGCAGTTTGCTGCTGATGCACGATAGTAGCGATAGACCAATTTTCTATTTTTTCAAAAGAATTTGATTAAAAAAATGTCACCTGCCATATACTGATAGAACTGACATTATGCTAATACAGTGAACAAGAGTGGACCGAATGTGACTTTTGACATTTTTTTTCCTTGGGAAGTTAAGTAATAATAGGTAGATGAAAAAAAAAAACGTGTACAGAGGGCGCATAAATGAATGCTAGAATTGTCAAATTGGGAATTTCGTTGTGTATTAACCTAAAATTTTCCGCCTGTCCCTGTCGCCTTCTACTTTTACATTTTTACATTGCTTTCCAGTTACAACGACGGTTATGATTCTGATGACAGTCACGACGATTGACAACAAGCGGCCGTTGTCTAACGTAGTGTCATTGTTATTGTGGTCACTATAAATTGTGAGGTTGTGTAATGTTCATGGGATGCTCTACATTTAAATAAATAGGCCCTATGGCGAGTGAGCAGTAGCTGACGAAACAGCCTAAAATCTTATTTGTGACATTTAGTTCTACATCTCGATCTATCCGCAAGATTTACTTACTGGAAAAGTTACACAATTTCTGCCTAATGTGATGACGCTCCCTGTTCCGATACGCAGGCCAAGGTAAGCTAAACGCTGGGGCTACTTATACGCTGCTAAATTTAAGAATGTAAGTGCACCATTCAGCGTTGTAGGACAGGCGATATCGATACGGTGGTTTTTTTTTCGCAAGGTCAGACAAAATTGTTTGCGTATAGCCCTATTCTCCTACTGTCTTCCCCCCTCCATCTTTTATAGAATAGATTTGTCTAACTCTACTTGCGAGACTCTCAAGACGCTAAATAGATCTATTATATACCGAAAACAGTAAAAGCTGGTTAAGTTTAATATAAATAAAAAGTATTTATTCACGGGGGCATACAACTCCTGTTTAGCTCAACATGCCATCACGCCCCTCCCGAAAAAGCAAGGCGAGAGAGAGAGAGAGAGAGAGAGAGAGAGAAGTAAAAACGGATCTGGGTTTATCGATATTCACCAGATTCCAGGACAGATTGCAGTATTGAAAAGTTTCGCTAACCGAAACTTACAATAACAGCCGCAATTATCGCAACAATGTCACTATAATAAATATTATCGCTATTAGAGTAATTAGTAATGCTAGTTTGTACAACATTATCCAACTTGAGCGTCAAGCGCAGAAAATTCAATCTATGATTTACATCACTCGTGATCACTAACGGGCAGTGCTCGATATAGAAATACCCTACGCAACGACATACTAATCATTCGGTACTGTCACCGTATGATAAAAATGATGATAATGATGACATTAACGAGGCCTACGACGATAATCATGTATATAGCATGTTGGATATTCGAATAACGATTAATTCTTCTATTTCCCTCAATCTATTTCAAAACCTTAGACACAGCAAAAGAGAATGAGGGATCGGCCATCGAACTTCTCGCAGAGCACCGCTGAAGTTGCGTGCGCACTTTCTTCGAATTTTTCTGTCAACATCTGTAAACTGTTGGGTTCGTTAGCGGGTAGCGTTAATGCAGTGGAAGTGGCGAGCGCAGATTCAAACGAGCTGTACGAAATTTCACAGAAAATTTGCGAGAGTTACCTCATGCATAGAAAGTTAGAGAAATGGACGAGATGGAAACCGTCACAGTTACGGAACCGTTAATGAAACGGAGTTAGCCGCTAAAGAGGTAGAAAGCTGAGAGACGCGTAAGCTCAGGTTCGCGCAGAGAAGGTTTAGTTGTGGCGGATTTTTGCTGACCTATGTAGCCGTAGCAGTAGCAACGGTTGGTGCGACGGATGTACACGTGACAAAGCATATAACGGAGCGATAATACACAATCGTCGATGATGAATGAAAATGATGCTAATGCTCAAACGGTATGGTGATGGCAAGTTTAGTAAAAGCAATTTAGGTTGGGGATGGGACAAAGCGAGATTAACGCTGAGAAACACAATTGACTTCGAAGATTGAGGAGCGAGTGCAGGCATGACCACTAACTGTAATGCTAGTATTTTCGCTCAAGGTGGGGCCGACATGAGATTTTAGGGTTTGGTCACGTTACGAGCACGAAAGACGGCTTGACTAAAGAGGTGGCAAAACATTTCATGGTTTCAATTTTTAGCGTATGTGATAAGTAATCGTATATCAATATTTCTCCCCTATATATACATGTTGTTAAAGAAACACGAATATCGGCCGGCAAACATATAATACCCCTAAAAATTGTCCCCAAAAAAAAGATGTTTCGCTAATAGTGGTTTCAATAATTATTCATGCATTGTTTTTCTCTCGTTAGCTGTCAACCGTGGTAGAAATATCAACTTTAGTTTCTAATCGCGGCCTAAACATGGAAGCACAAAACACGACAAGTACATACCAAAATCTGCGGGGGCCTACCACAAGGAAAAATGCAGATCGAACTAATTGCCCTGAAAAAAACTATGGGAGAGTCGTGCGTACTACGAGTGCTACTTTATAATAACAACAACAACAACAACTATTTTATAGCAACAAATTGTGTGTGATTAATATTGTTTGAAGATACATGGAGCGGATGGATAACACCTGTATATGTAAGATAAGTGTGAATAAGGCCGATGAACGAATGATCGTAGAAGACCATAAAATTAAAAAATTAGCACCTTGAATGAATCAGAGAGTGAATGTGTTTAAGCATTCTTCAAGCTATCTCACAACTTTTTTTTTTTTTTTTATAGCTGGAGTCGACAATTATAAAAGGAATTACTTAGACAATTTTTCATTCCTATTGCAATTACTGTGACACTCAGCTTGATTTAATATTAAATAACTGAAAAATTGAACAAAGTATGATCACAGAAATGTTACACTGTACGGTACCTCGATGCATATGAAATTCACTATGGCAACGGTGCATATTCAAAATCGAATCTTGTGTTTCGTTACATAACAATATTATAGAATACGAAAAATCCTGTTATCGATTAAATCTGGAAGGACGTAGCCATCACAAAAAAATGGAAGTGTAAAAAACAAATTGCAAACGTGTCATTTATTATGTGCAGTGAGGAAGCGTACGTTGATGAAGCAGTGTTCATAATGATTGTACCGAAACGGGGCTGCTGGAAGAACGTTGATAGTATTCTATAGTGTCGCTGGAAGATATTTAATAAATAAGTTAAATCTATGCCTCGCAAAAGTTAACCAACGAAATGAAGTGCCTGCCGATTGATAGTAATAATCATCATAACGATTAGTGGACGATTTTACGTGGTTACTGGGTAACACGAAAGAGATGACGGGATAAAACCATGGCAATTTTTACGTGAGTGTGTATAGTGTGTGTGTGTGTGTGTGTGTGTGTGTGTGCGTGCGTGCGTGCGTGCTTAGGAGTGTCTAGGGACGAAAACAGAACGAGTAGATGCCAGAACAAATGGCACATATTTATTAATTGATGGAAATTTATGGATAAGAAATATTAAGAGCTGTCGTCGCGTAGGGTTGATGCGTGTGTATGTGTGTGTCTGTGTGTGTGTGTGAGCGTGTGTAACAGGTGACAATAATGATCTTATAAAGCTGATCAGATAGCTAACAGCATTCTCCGGAGGCTTCTCAGGACCGCCAGAAATGAGCGGCCATCATACCGCCGAAGAATTTTGATGGAATATCGTTGATGAATAATTATATTAAAGTAAATAGTTTGAATGGATGATGACATGATGATGATGATGATGATGATGATGATGACGATGATAATCAAGATGAAAGAATAGACTGAATGAAGAAAGGATAGACGATGAAATAAAGTGATATTGTTTCCACTTTTGTAAATGAAGTCTCATGCTTTTTTATTTTCTAATATATGTACTTGTATTTACTATTGCATTTGTCTATAGGATGAATTTAGTCCAACTTGTCAGCTTCATACGAAATCGTTCCGAAATTTCGTAAGCAAACAAAATTATGTAGATTCTACTACTAGTTACGTCAGTTAATATCTATCAGAATAGTTCCAAGTTAACAAGTTAGTAAAATTAAATTGTTAAAATGAAGTTATATCAAGTTAAAATGAAGTAATAATCAGAACTCTTTCCTTCGCCCTTAAGCATCCTTTTGTCGCCCAAAAACCTCAGCACACAATGCGTAATAGTTAACTGAAATTCATTTAGTGCCAATTAGGTATTGAGTTATAAAAGTCATTGTTACTTGTTATTATTAATTTAATTAAAGCAAATAAAAACGTTACGTATCGTCGACGTATATATTATAGCTATAATAGTTTCCTTCCAAAAAGTGTAGAATCCCAGCTTATTTCTACCTATTCCCGCACAAACTGTATGCTGCAATCACAACATAAATAGAACGCGTCTGGAATGATCTGCAGTTTCATGCGTGATCACGATAGTTTACGCCTTTTTTTTACTCTCCAATCGCCGTTATCAAGTCACAACGCATCAATTGTTATGGCCCATTTTTTGTACGCACTGTTTCAAACAGTGTCAATGTGTTTATGAGTTGAAACATCTATATTTTTGAAGCCGTCCGATAAAATCATCTAGGATAACCATCTTAATATAAGGAATACTTTTTTGTTGAGCAAAGATTAAAGACCAAATTTCAGCATTTCCACACGTGTACAGTATTGTTCATCTACGTTAAGACGTTGAGCTATTGTCATGTCTACTATTTGTGCTCACCCTCGCGCGTAGTAATCACCAACAAAAGGATTTATTAGTTTTTCTTCGCGAATTCAAGATGAACGAGGTTGCCTATTTCTCCTCCTGTTATCTCCGCTGTTGTTTATCAGTGTTTATCAGCCCGCGTCATTTTCAGTTGCCTAGTGACAAACAAACTATGGCAGCGCCTATAGTTCACGCGAGGATGACTGCGTTCGGTGGGCGCTAATGGGCCAGTGGGCTTATTTCAAGCAGTTAGACTAGGTGAACCCCAGCAGACGACAGTAGGAGGCGTCGAAAGCTGAACCTGATCTAGAACAGACACTCGGCATCTCTAACAACGAGTGGGCGTCCGGAATGTTCGCCAGACTAAAGTCAAAATATTCATTGCCGGGGTGCACGTATGAGAAAAGGTGTTCAAACTGTAGAATTTCGATTATGTAGGTATTCGCTAATCCCGGATAACACCGACAGGCCGGCAGACGACGTAAACCACAATAGTGCGCGATGGACATACACACTTTTAAATAAGAGATGAAAGTTAAACGGAAAGTAAACGCCTAGGTAGAAAGTAACAGGTTGCCACTGGTCAATTCGACTGAACGGAACGGACAACGCCGAATTATCTGAAATTTATACAACTTTGATAAAAGCGCCTTGAACACCGGCTGTCTAAGAACAGCAACTGCAAAGTGAATCAATATACTTTAAAAACAAAGTAGTAGTGAAATCGTTTTCTTTTTTGTCTTTGAGGGGCAAAAAAGTGAAAGACACGATTTACTAACAACACTAGTAACAATGAAAGCATCACACTTGCTTAGATGTATTGTCGAACTTTGTATAATATGGACAAAATAAAACTGCGTTTGATATATCCATTTGTCAGTTTTTAGATGTTTAGTCTGTAACTGCAGACGCAATCATTATTTGCCTATTTGATATGGTATTTTGACAATTTTACAGATTAGATCGAAAATGATATAGCACTGTTAACGAGCGGTGCCGATTAATAATGTGAGACACCACCGTGCGACTTATAGGAAATACCACGTTATCATAGAATTCATTTAGCAAATTTTGTATACTGAACTTTTGCTTCACTCTCAAGTTTTTCGCTCATTTGCAGTTTGCTTTTATGGACAACTGACATGTTACTATTAGATTGAAATTTTGTGCCATAATAAAAAGGAGGTATATAGGTAGTCTCAACTAAATAAATCTACACAACTAAAGTCAAGGGATACTGTCGACAATTAAAACCCTTGCCGTTATGGGAGGTCCAAGGATGTGTTTGAATACGCTATTCCATTCACATAAAGAAAAACAAATTCCGCAGCCGGCAGGATTCGAACCTGCGCGGGGAAACCCCATTGGATTTCAAGTCCAACGCCTTAACCACTCGGCCACGACTGCCCACGACAACCATCAACGCCATCACTCAGCAAATTCATTCAACTTGTTCTTCTATAAATAGGAAAGAAAAAGAAACTCATAAATGCTTATAATAATGCTCTATAATTCGGCGAAACAATGCATTGATTACGGTAGCACCTAGATAAGGTGCCGATCTCTCAGCACTTGTGCCTTAGAAGAGAAGACAGAAATTGTACAGAGTACATTATGTTACAGGCCACCCCTTTATATTTTAGTTACAGTCTAGCTATTTTGTTCACTCACTAGGGGCGAATTGCTTCTCCTTTGTTCGATTCCGAGTAGAAGTCTTACTATAAGCTTTGTTTGTCGTTTACGATAGTACTCCATGCAGCCCGCCAGTATGTTCTAGTTATGTTTTTCCCCGCGCTCTTCTGGTTCACTTTACCGATGCGATTATGGTCGAACTTTCTACACCGCATTCTATACCGACCCCAGTATGGCCGCTTCAAAGTTGCTGTAGATGTCTAGTAGGCAACAATGCGACGCTGATATAAGTGATCGCCTCGTTTTTCAAAGATTTCTTCGCATCCAGTTCTTTTTTGAGCACTGGCGTACCTGAACGTCTGATGCCGTTTTCATCGCCGATGTCGTCGCTATCGCTTTGACCGCCCCTCGTCGCCGCACTCTATGCGTTTGTCAGTCCACGACCCAGCCGTCCTCTTCTTAGCTGCATCCCGTCGATTTTTGTTTGTGTACGACATGACAGGACTTTAAGAACCCATGACCTCGGCGAAGGGGCTGTATCTAAATGGCCCCGATTCTCTGCAGAGGCTGAAAATTGTTTTTGCTAATTTCCTGTTTGTTCGTTTGGTTCCCATCTTCATTCACCGGATTTCTTGGGCCTATGCCGCCGCCTACATTTTGTCCTATGGATGAACGGAGTAACTAGGCAAACCAGAAGGGGAAACATCATTAACAGTAGTAACGACGATAACAACAATGAGGAAACAGTAGATCACTTCTACTTAAGAGACGGCACCAGCACCCGTTCCTTCTGAGCCCGAAAAGCCGTTGTCTTTTGCTGGCGGTGATGACCGCAGTTAACGCTACCGCTATTGTTGGTGCTGTCTTGTCGCAGCAATTTAGGTAACACGCAAACACGAACGGCTCGGACATGTTGCAGGGTACAGTCACCTAGAGGGCAGCTGCTCTATCTGCAAAGGCAGAGTATTGGACTCATTTGCTGGTCCAACCGTTTGTCAAGAAAAGACCGACAACGACAAAAGAGAGGACATCGCGGAGGGAAATCGCAGCCGGGGCAGCAGAATGCCAACGAGTAGGACGAAGCTCATCGACGGTACGGAGAGGGACAGTGGATAAGTGTCTGAATAAACAATATCATGATGAGTAATAGCATTGTTTTACTCCTTCAAATAATGCAGCTTATAACATACCAGGTCAGACTCGGGCTAGACGGCGTCCAGACACAGCCACATTATCACCGTCGCCGGAATACGATCAGAGGGGTGGTCTGACAGTGTTACTCTCTCTATTGTAGGCTGGCTAGCCAGACACAGGTCGAGCTGCAGGAGCTGAGGTTGGATTGACAAGGGAAAATTTAGATGTAAATTGTAGGTAATTACTACTGTTGAAACTGACCCGCTGATGGCTGATTGTTGATTCTATGCGGGTTTTACGATATACTTAAAGCGTCAAATATTTACTTATTGTCATCATCATGAACTAGATGATACCTTGAACTTCAGTCGCTGTCGACATATGTTTGGCTACGTACGGTTGAGTTTATTATATAATTTGGTGGGCGTATATTTATTAGTCCTTACCTGAAAATATACGCAGAGTTAAAAAAGATTAGATGCTTGTTTGAGAACGTGGGCCGCTTTTTGTCCACCTGAAACCGGATTACGCTTTTTTCGATCAACTATTCAGGCCCCATTGATTTTACTATCTACTATTATTGCATTCTACCCAAAAACATGAATCTGGTTAAGCCGCCAATCATAAGAATTCCAATGCTTCCACGCTAAAAAGCAGTGAGTCGTTTCAAAATTAATCAATTTATATTACGAACCCGAAAATCTGATTCACTCAACCAAGTAGGTCAACGAAATTAAAGTGTCTCATCTATCGTAGTGGATATCAATAAGACAAGTTTCATTGAAAGACTTCTTTGAATGCTCATGGCACTTATTTAGGCAGTATGTATCGTAGCTTCTATGCCGCACACTTGCGCATAGAGGCTACGATAGCGTGCATGTCAGCGTGCCTCCACTTGGTATGTTCATTACCGTCGTCAACTTTCGTTTTTACTGATGCAGATAACTATGTTAGTAACAAGTAGTAATAGCTTCCAGTATAAAAAAATATTGATGAGACACAGAAGAGTTTGACACTTACCCCCTCCCCCCCCCCCCCCCTAACAAGGTTGCGATTGCCAAAAGAGTGCTCTTGGATCAAATATGTTATATGTGTAGTAATTCTTTAGGCAGGATTTCGAGCTTTTATCCCGCGCCCATGGGTGTTGCCCTGTGCCTGTCTTTCTCAATCATTACTTGGCCCGTGTTACAAAGACAACGTAGTTGATCTGCGAGCGCTTCGGCCCGCGCTGGTACAACCCGCGTGACCACCCAACTCCTCCGTGATGATGACAACGACATAGAAAAAAGGCGGCATGGGAAAGGGTAAAAAGGACATTTAAAAAAAAAAGTAGTCGGTCGTCCAGTTCTACCGGCTCACAAAAAATCTGATTAAAGTAACTACTTTA